CTGAGTGGGAGTGCAGCTTAGGTTTATTTCTGTATACCCTCATTTTAATGAGAAATGTATCTTTATTTATTGCTTACTAACTTAATAAAGGTGGAGAGTTTTTAGTTTATTTTATCTGTGTGAACTGCTGCTAGAAAAGTAGGATAGGTTAGAACTGCGTCAGCGAACAGCGCCAGAAAGGAACTGTTTTTAGATTTTATACTCAGTTTTTTAAGTACTTTTTAATGCTGTGAATTTAGACTTAAATAGAAGTTCAAACAATACATTTGACTAAATAATACTTGGTAAAATGACGTATGAATTACGTGGAAGAGCCATGCTTCAGCACGAATGGGCCGGCTCGACCGAAGTGATACCACGGCCCCACATAAAACCGGTGTTAAGCAATTCTTTCGTTGCCTTTCACTGAGTGAGTGAGGTTATCGGAGCCCAAATCTTCCCTCCCGCTGACTCGAGTGGGAGGGACTTCAAAGGTGGCAACGCACTTGTGACTTTTGAGTTGCAGGTGTCTATGGGCGGCGGTACTTGCTTACCATCAGGTGACCCGTCTGCTCGCTTTCTTATACCATAAAAAATGACCAAGAATGAGTTTTGCTAACTGAAACATTGCGATAAGTTGTTTTGACAAATGTGTTTTTGCCAAATGAAAATTTGCTTAAAATAGTTTATGATGTGATATTTTGGGAAATTAGTAATCCTTTTTAAATACCCAGTTTAGCTAAATAAATAAACAAAAGATGTTCAAGTTAACGTAATCGTTTACGAAAGAAAGCTTTCAACGACTCTATTTCGTAAACCATTACATTAACAATGTATTTATGTTAAGTAAACTAAATCATTAACAACTTTTTATCTGTTTGTTGCAGGACGTGGTACACACAATCAGCACACCACACGGACAAGTACAGAGGATCGTCGTATTTAAGAAAAATGGTGTACAGGCCATGGTTGAATATCCTTTGCAATATATTATAATTTATTATGTTTATGTTTAATATTTACTATATACAAACATCCATATAAACATCTGTGGTAATCTGTGGTAATTGTTACTGAAATGGCTGACAACAGTCTATCAACAGAACTTCGAAATCGCCTTGTACCTGAGTTGTGCAGGTCTGATGACAGTCGCTTAACGTAAAAAATCAAAGTTCAGCCGCGTCGCAGTAGACCTAAAACCGACCTCAGACCAGTTTGAGAAAACTCTTAGAGGATGATGATTTACTATATGCAATAAATTATAGGACTTTTATACATCTGAATTACAGATGTCTTAATTTGAATAACAAAACTCTGATCTTCAATTTCAAAGTTATTAATTCCGAAATGATCATTTCGAATCTTCCAATTTCAATCTATGAGATTAACATAATCGATAATTTAGCATTAAACAAATGACAAATTAATTGTTAAACGAATCAATGAACAAATAACATTCTGAATGATTGAAACTAAAGAACACGCTTCAATGAAAGATGAACCAGTAGGTGAAAAAGCGTTTCACCTAGTTACACTGTCTACTTTCTGGCTTCATCGCCAGAAAGGTTTAGCGGTTTGTGACCCTGACTGCTAATCCAGAGGTTCGATTCCCACTCAGGGCAAATATTGTGTAGATTGCGCGGTTCACGTCGAGGTATCAGGGATTTCCTTTCTAGGGTACACCTGGTTCACCGGCGACTAGTACCCGTGACGGCGTGCGGTTTTTGGTCGGTTCGAGTCCGACATAACCACCGGCGAGTGGTATCCGAGGGGATTTCCGCACAGAAAAAAAGTCAAAATTGTGTGAAAAGCACAATTATTTGTTTTTTTGTTTTGGAGTCATTTATTTATAAATAGCGAACAGCCCCGCTGGTGCAATGTATTATCCAAAAAAACATTTCTCTTAAATCACTCTATTGTTGAAAACCGTATTAAAATCCCTTGCGTAATTTGAAAGATCTTAGCGTAAAAGAACGGGAAGCAATATCATTTTATACTATGTACAGATATGTATGAATTTAGAAATTGTATAAGTATGTTTATCAGCAGTCTGGTTCCCATAGCACAGGCTCTGCCTAGTTCAGAATCTGACAGCCGTGTGTTAAAAAAATATCCATTTATAAGTCACAACATTTCACTCGAATTTCTTCTTGTTAGTACGCAGGCATAACACAAAATAAATATTTATAAATAAAATATCTTAGCTTGTTTTACAATAGTAGTATTATTATTTGATTCTACTCTCAAGATAAATAGAGCGAAGACATTAAAATAAAAACTTTGTATATTTTTCTTTACCTTGCCGAGGTGTGACTGTTAGCGATTTTTAATCAACCACAGTAGTGATTTACTTCAAACTCATATAGAAACATATTATGATTTGATTCACTGGTTGTATGATCGTTTTAATACTATATGTTTAGGAAAAATACTGTTGATGTGCATGTATGTACCTGTTTTATCTTCGAGTAACGCAGCGAAATTATAAATTAAAGGTGGACTGTATTTTAAATTGATTTATTACACTGTACATGTAATATGGAATGATTGTAATGCGTGTGTCTTGTGCGCCGCTCGGTCGTCAAGTGAAGGGGCTCGTGACACCTTCAATTGCCGCAATCGTCGCTACCGGCACGCTTCGCCGCGCCCTCCGCTCCCTCGCAGGTTGCCCACGCGCCTCACGCGTGAACATACCTATTTAAACTCCGGTAGCACAATCTGTATTACCTTTTTTTTTCTGTGCGGAAATCCCCTCGGATACCACCCACCGGTGGCTATTTCAGACTCGAACCGACTAAAAACCGCACGCCGTCTCGGGTGCCAGTAGCCGGGGAACCAGGTGTACCTTAGAGAGGAAAGCCCTGGTACCCCGACGTACTTCGGGCCATCTACGTCGGATAGATGACCCCCTCAAGTGTGGGAACTCCCATGTTCCCTTTGTGCTCCCGAAATGGCGCGCGCGCTCCGCAACGCGTATCGCCGCCACCCTGGGCTGTTTCTGCTAGGGTGACAAAAGGCGTCACCTGCCACCCCCCGACAATCTGTATTAACGACTTTTATTTACCTTTTAATAACCTTTTGCATTCATTTTTTAACTTTGAATAGCTGTTGATTCTGTGCAAATTACATACATAGATATATCGTTATTTTTAAAGAATTTAAACGTACCACTTGAAAAGTTTTCTACACACCTCAGAACGATTTTGTGATACTGTGTTATGAGCGCGCGATATTAAAAGCGGGCTGATTCTACGCTCGCAGTCATACCACGGCTTTTGAATCTTTTGAATGGGCGTCGGTGCTCTCGTTCAGCGAACCATAAAACTCTCTATAAATAAACAGATAGTTTGCATTTCTTCTACTGAAGTACTCTTTAACCAGAGCAACTCTCAGTTTTATTAGTTTTCCAAATGGAAATGTAGGAAACCGAACAGCAATCATCAAAGTACAATAATCGCACGCAACTGAAGAGTCACAAGTGCGTTGCCGCCTTTTGAGCAAAGTGTCGCCACGGCAAACGTCACCACGGCGTACGTTGCCACGCTATGTGATAGTATATGTAACATGTAACGCGGTGATATTATCTTATATATAAAATTCTCGTGTCACAATGTTCGTTCCCGTACTCCTCCGAAACGTATGAAACCTATTTTTTTTTTTTTGCAATACAACGTTTGCCGGGTCAGCTAGTAAATACATATATATTAAATAAACAATCATCTTTTTCTTCAAAAAATCTCTTAATAATTATATTATTAATAGTGCTATACCTTATTATTTCTTTTCATAAGCTATTCTTCATACTCATTATTTCTAAAAAATAATTTCAACGTTTTAAATCTACTAGACATCCCGCAAAGTCAAAGACTATTAAAATTATTTCTGCAACTGTGTATCTAATTCTAGCATATCCTTGTGAAGCAGAACCATGACATAGTAATAACACAATCGACATCACAGTTTTATAGGGAATTCTAGGAGGCGATCAAAATAGACTAAATTTTATAATACCATGACGAAGCACCTTCTCAGAATGATCTCTTAACATTTTACGGCCGGCAAACATAAATAAATCTTTGCAGGTGATACAGATCTCTGCAGTCACAATTTAACGATCTATTGCCAGTAAGATTTTAAAATATCAACAAAAAAATATAATATAATACCAACTTCCCGTTCGGCGCCTGCGCATTCTTATATAAGTTTGCCCGTAGTGTTGCCACCTGACATTAATCATGATATAAATAGGTTTTATATTTAAATTAAAGTAAATAATTCTAGAATAAGCGACAGTAATCATAATAATAATTATGTTTTAATTGAAAGAATAAATTTTTTAAAGTTTTACTGCCTTAAATCAAGGTTTTTATTGTTGTATTTATGAATTTTCGGCTACAGAATTCGAATTCACTTCAAAATTAAAATCGTGCAATGGTTGATTTTGATTTACAATCTACTACGGTTTACAATACTATACTATCCAAATAACTTCCAAACTTGTTTTAACGCAGGCGCCTTGTAACGATATGTAATAGACATTCTATAACATGTTATAATATTACAAGAAAGTTCTTATCTAAATATAATACAAACAAATATTAAAATTGGCATATCTATGTTTAAAATCTTAAAGTCATTAAATCTAAAGATAAAAAAATGAGAATAAATAAAGGTACATAGATACTCAAAATATATACACCCCAATATAGTATTTCCACACTAGCAACTCTTTTCAAACGTTACACCGATATATTTCATAACTATTAATAATAAAAATGCGTGAAATGAAATGTTGATGATTTACGACTCAAATTGTTTGACTGTGCGAAAAATGTGTGAGTTATTCGGAGCGCGCGGCTCGTTGATAAAAGTCATTTGCACAATGTACTAGCAAGTCAAAATTTTTTTTTGTTTTCTAACTAACCATGGTGAAAATAAACCACCGTGAATATTATTTGTTCATGATTTTGGGATTAGTTTCCTTGCAACGGATGTGACGTGCAATAAATATTATGTACAGAATGATCGACGAATTACGTAGAAGGTGATATTTTAAAGATGAAAATAGCTTTGCTATCTATCTCTATAAAGGAAAAGAAATTTGTTATGTTCTGGAAGATTAGTTTTGAGACTATATGCTTTGATAGATAGGCATATCCCTTTGTTAATGTCCTCTAGACACATTATGTACCATACTGTATCTGATACTGTAAGCTGTTTAACGCGTGATAAGGCGTTAAACAGCTTACAGTATCAAGTTCAGTTCATTCAGTCAAGTTTATCATTAAGTATTTATGCTGTGTCTTTTGCGAAATACAGTTTATTTTATTATTATTCTCTTTATTTCATTAAATATTCATATAAATTATTATTACGGTGCCGCCTCAATAGCGTTAGGGGCGATCTAGTTAAAAATATTCAACTGATAGTTTCAGAGATTTTTGCGTTCATTGATAAAAGAATTCACTTTTTAAACTCCAATATCCTAAACAATGTTAGGTTTTTTCTAGTTATTTTAATGAAACACAATAGTGCGATAACGGGTATCACATCCAGAGACACGCGATGCACGCAGACATACTAAGTTACATGATCAACGAAGCGATAATTGCGATAAATATACGGGTACTTAATGATCTAAATTATCCACTATCTCAGTGGACTTCATAAAACAATTATCATTTAACTGTCCAAACGTTTAAATGTTGCCTTCAAAAGTTGCACAGTAAAAAAACTTTGTAGATACGTCCCGGTGTTGCCAAAGTTGAACGTACAAAACCACAGCTGAATGCTGGCCGTAAAGCCAGCTGTTTAATTACAGCCTCTGTGTTTTTATCAAGCGTCTTTTATTCAAATAAGACCAAGTTTTGGGTACGGATTTTAATTGAAGATTGTGATTTGGGAGACTCGAGCTTGAAGAGCCGTTGTTTTAATAATGTCCCTTTTATTATTCATATAACACAGCTGACCCGACAGATGCTGTCCTATTCAAATTTTGTATAACGAAATATCATCATCAACAGCCTATAATGGTCCAATGCTGGACAACTCCTTAGTAAGGAGGTTTTGGCATACTGTACACCACGCTGGTAAGACTGGTTAGTATAGGGTTTGTGTCAAGTTTTCATGCCATCCTATGTCGTTTGCATGAACATCCTATGTCGAAGGATCCTCCTTTTGTGTTGGAGGGACATGACACCCGTTCCTCCACAGATGCTTTTTGATGAGTCTAACAGACTCATGGGCTTAGTAACTATGGCCTGATGATGGGACCAAAAGGTGAATAATGGCAATTTTATAAGTGATTAGCTGCCCCAGTGAAAATAATCATTAAAATTAGATCAGATTATAATTATTATTTATATATTCATCCAATCATCATCCTTCGAGTGTTTTCGCACACTAGGTGTGGTTGGCTTTGAGTCTTCTACGACACGGCTGATTTTTACGTGGAGCGACTGCCATCAGACCTCCACAATCTTTTTTTTTTTCCGTGCGGAAATCCCCTCGGATACCACCGGTGGCATGTCGGACTCGAACCGACTAAAACCGCACACCGAGACCTCCACAACCTAAGTAAATAAAATAAAATAGTACTAAGCGATATCAAAGTTCTGTAGATAGACTGTTATCGAAGATATGAATGTTAAATTTTGATTAGCATTACGGAATCAATAATAACAGCTAGCCTTTATATAACTTGATTTCGAACGGTTTAAAATACATATTTGTTTGTAATTACACTGTACTTTATATGTTATTTCCTTAACTCCTGGTCACAAATTTGAAAGCGTGGAGTCAGCCACGAGAGCGAAGGAGGCTCTACACGGCTGCGACATATACTCCGGTTGCTGCACTCTCAAAATTGAGTTCGCTAAGGTATGTTCCTGGTATTTATCTTCTATTTTTAATTTTTAAGGATAGTGAACTGCTTATTTAACATTATTTGCTGCATATTGGTAATGTTTTTTTTTTATAAATTTCGGATAAGTATTAATTTTTTTCGAAATTCATTTAATCGTGTTAGAGATCGCCTGGCGATCGAATTTGAACCGTTTCAAAAGCCGTGTTTTATTCTATGCCAAGTATAACTTGATCTCTCGTTATATAGAAGTATGTATATACATTATTAATGGCATTTGAAAATATATGTTTGTTTGGGCACATCTATCGGTCAGTAACTCGACACTTAACTCTGAGAGCTCTCTCAAAGCTAAGTATGTCTGCATTAGCTCATGTTACCATCACTTAGTGGACAGTCGGCACTTCTATCTTACACGTTAGGTGTTAGTTTGAGCATTATCAGAGGAGGGAGACAGGTTGTATTATGATGCTAAAATAACATAATGTTTATACTTACTTAAATATTAACCTAACATTTTTTTTAAGTTAGACATTGTGGTTAAAATTTACTATTATTTTTGATCTCCAACTGACATATGCATCATATTCAAGTACTTAAGGTTTAAAGCTCGTTACCACCGAGAATGGAATTTTACAAATACTTGCTCGCGTTAATTCTCGTCTTTTCTTCTTCTTAGTTGCGATCTTCGATTACTGAAGGTCGTATCTGAGTCGATACTATTTCGTCGGATCTTTTCACTTGGTTTTTACATCTCACTCTGTCATGAGCCTGCCGGATAGCGGTTGTGGTTGTAACTCTCATACGTAAATATAATTTAACGCCATGAACGCGAAATTTTACAAGATAACAATGCTTTTGTTTCTTTATAAAAGGCACTACATGTCCTCCTTTGTGCCCTTGGTAAAATGGCTATCATATTGTCCTGCTTGTTCAATGTTAGTCCAAATACATCTATTAACGATCACCACACCACAGACAATTTTCCAAATTATATCGCTATCATATTTTATGATTCGCCGTTTCCTTTTACGTTGGGTTTTTGTCCGACTAACACAAAAAAAATATTGCCATTGCATCGCGTGCTGCAGGGGTGGGTTGTTCTGAACGAACCGTATAATTAGTGGGCCCATCTTTAATTAAGTGATAATTGGATATTCCAGGTTCAAACCAAGACATGTTTCTTTTACAAGGTTTTAAGCTGATTTTCCAAATATCGTAAGATATAAAACAAAAAATGGTCCCAAAACACCTTCAAGCTTTGTATATTTTATATTTTTTATTTCTTTGTATTTTTTATTTGCTCATCATTAAAATGAACGGTTATTAATAGCAACGGTGAATATATTTTACTGCAATTATCGTTTAGGGCTATATATTTACCTTGAAATTAAACCCTGTTCTCAATTTTATTTGGAGTCGACGCAAAGTGTAAGGTTGCAAAGGATTTTGCTTTAAAACTTTTAAGGAGGCTCGCCTGATGCCAAGCCCCTAGGGAGACTATATAAACAGAGAAAAAAAAAGAAAGAGATAAATTGAATTATGGAAAATGGCTGTGATTGGAAACGGAACTCAAACTGCAGTAGGTCGAAAAGACCGAAGTTTTGTACCCGTATCGGACATGTGGGTACAGAACTCTGGCCTTTGATTAGAAATGTCACCAGGATAGGGACATTAACTAGCTTAATTATTATAACGAGACAATCCAAGATATTCCTATTATGTATAGGAAGCCTCCACCTCTCGCTTGGTAGAATGACCTATGGGTCATTCTACCAAGCGAGAGGTGGAGGCTTCATTTGACAGCATTGTTCTAAATAGGCAATTTTAGATTTCCACCCCGAACGGTAGGTAGGCGAATGTGCAAGAGTTTTTACTGCGACTGTAATCACATTCGCCATTGTGATAGCGGAATACGGTACTAGTAAAAACTGAACTCGTAATGAATTCGAGTCCCTTTTTGTGTTGTTTGTCCTATTGAATATGTATTTTAGTTTTCCTGTGCGTGATAAAAATCTCTTATAAAATGTTTTCAGCATGTGGTTAGTCTAATGACAATTGCTTTAAAGATGGTGTTGAAGACAATACCTTAGTGGATTGTATAAAATGAGATAGTGGACTGTAATTTTAGTTGTATAATGTTTGTTTGTTTGTCCGTGTGGTGACGGATTAAGAATACAGAGTGTCACCACCCCTATTCATCCCGTGGGTGTCGTAAAAGGCGAGTAAGGGAGCAAACTACGCAGGACAACAGCACTGCAGAGAGAAGGAAAACTTGACACAAACCCGTCTGGCCAGCGTGGTGTAGTAGGCCAAAACCTCCTTTCTAAGGAGAGGCCTATGTCCAGCAGTGGACTAGTAAAGGCTGTCGATGATGATGATGATGAATGTTTGTGGTTAATAATATACTATTAAATAAAATACTACTAGGATGTTATCCTTCGGCTGAGTTTTAAACACGCTTTTTATTAGCTTCACCTGTATGTTTGTTTGTAACCGACTCCTTTGGGCCTGATTTTAAATGACTTTAAACGGTCAGAATTCGTTCAAATTTGTAGAAATATCGAGGATCGATGACAATACACTAATTAAAAAAAATAAACTAAAAAACACGCTTTTTATAGAAAACCAAACTAAAAAATAGAAAATAAATTTTAATAAATTTGAAAAAAAAAAGCGTGGGGTGCTTTTTACTATTAACAACATGCACACAACGCTTTTTTTCAAATTTATTAAAATTTATTTTAGTTTTTTAAACTATTATTATTTAGCCTCGTGATTCTTTTAAAGAAATATGACCTCAATATGGGCCATTTGTGTTTTTTAAATATCTATTTGCATATTATAATCTATTTTTTAATCACCAACAGTTTTTTTTTTTTAAACTCAATCCCGAAATAAATGAAGCCGAACTATCCGTATGAAAGACATGTTGTAAAAAATAATTACCAATGAGTTAAAAAAGCACATAAAATGATATAGAATTGCATTGCCTGCCTTTACAATGAAAAGTATAGCTTAATAAAAAAAAAGTTCCACCTTCATACTAAACCATAGGGAATAAAAAAGTAAAAGTTCAATTCGAATTTCGAATGCGAGTTATTTGCTCGACAACCGTCGCACTGTTTGAACGTAAGTGTCACGATCGCGTTCGTTTAAAAGAATCTGAATGTCTGTTGAATGCGATATTTTTATGTTTGGATTCGTAACAAAACAAACAAAGATTTTTTCCTCTCAGAATTTTTAAGTGACAATGAATTTTTTTATAATAAAATGCTTTGACATTTTAAGTTAACTATCACGTGCTCCATCGATTGGCTTGTTTAAAGTTGTTTTGTTACCTCCTTCAACGCGCTTTGATGTTCTTCTTGCAGTGTTGCCTTTCAATTCGTCTTGCGTCAAGCATGTGTAATATTGATTGGCTGAAGTCGCAAGTAGCTTTTAATAATATAATAATATATCGCACACATCTCACATACGGCCGTCTGATCCCAAATTAGACAGAGCCTGTACTATGGTAACCAGACTGCTGATAAACATACTTATATGTATATTTTGAAATACATACATGTTATAGATAAATTACACCCAGATACAGAACAAATGACCGTGCTCATCACACAATGTTTGTCCTGGATGGGAATCAAACCCACGACCTACAGTTTAGCAGTCTAGGTCACTAATCACTAGACCAAGAGGCGCGTCGTTTACATCTCTACACCTCGATCAGTCCTCATAGCTTTTGGCATTATGTAGGACACGAAGTGGTCATTTTGTGTTAGATTCTTTTATACAAATATAGACCATCTGTTATTCTTCGATAAGAAAAGTCCCGTTAAACTTTGTCTTAACAGCGATAATCGTTTGGGAAGCGACATTATACCTTTAAAGTCAACACTCTGAAGTTAAAAGTTTTAATCGTAGTTTTAAATGGAAGAACTCTTTATTCAGGACGGTGCTCGCATATTTTACAGGTAGGGCTGGAATTAGAGCCGAGCTTATTAGCCAGATGCTGAAAACAACGACTATTAGATAACAAAACTCGTATAGCCCTATTTTTTCCACCTGCCCTTTTCTCTAAAACCTTGGGAGAGCCATGCCTTTGCACAAATGGGCCAGCTCAACCAGAATGATAACACATAACACATCACATCAACAGCCTATAATAGTCCACTGCTGGACATAGGCCTCTCCTTAGGTAGGAGGTTTCGGTCTATTATACCACGCTGTCCAGACGGGTTGGTATAGGGTTTGTTTCAAGTTTTCCTTCTCTTTGAATTGCTGTTGTTCTGCGTAGTTTGCTCCCTCAGTCGGCTTTTACGGCACCCTTGGGATGAATAGGGGATTAGACACTGTATTCTTAATCCGTCACCACGGACATGATGAGTTCCACGGCCTTACAGAAAACCGGTGTTAAGCAGTGTCGTTCCTCGTAATTCTAATAACTCTTTTAACAGGAGTCAATGGGCGGCGATCACTCACCATCAGGTGACCCAACTGCTCGTTTGCTCCCCCTCTACCTTAAAAAACCCTAGTGAATAGAATCACTGCAAGTGACAATGCTGATGTTAATTTTCGGACATCTTAAACAACGTCATCTAGCTTTAAACTAAGCAGAGCTTGTACTATGAAAGCTAGATCGACTGATAGAATACTTATATACTTTTTTTTGTAAATACAAACATATTAAATAAAAAAAAACACCCAAATTTCGAAACAATATTTGCAGATCATACAAACATTTAGTCCGACCTAGGAATCGAACCCGAGACCTCAGAACAGCAGTCGCAACACCATTCCTGCTCCACCGAGGTAGTCTATTGATAGTAGTCATATTGATGATAGATTACTATGAGGCAGGATCTGTGTTTCTTTATTTGTTTTATAAACATTTAAATTTACGTAAAATCTTTGTTGAATAGTGTTCACAATTTACTTTATGTTTTGGACCCAACGGGTTCCGGAATGAGCGTTTCTAGTTCGCCGTTGTCTGGCACACTGACGATCGATTCCAGAA